TATTACAAACAGACCAAAACTGATAATTTTATATCAAAAAAACCTCAAACTCTCTTGCTAAAAATATTTATCTTTGTTCTAAATTTTATTAGCTATTTTCTAAAAATTTACTAGTTTATATTAGAAAATTTACTTTTTTTCTGTTTATTAAAATTTTTAAAAATTTAACAAATTTTAAAATTTCACTTACTAAACTTCAGTTAAGAAATATACCAAATTTGAATATTAACAATTATATCTAATTTAATAATGATCACTAATCAAATAATTTTAGAATTCAAGATTCAAAGCATAACAAAAAAATTATAGTAGTACTAAAATTTTTAATCACTTTTTTAATAAAATTTTTTTACATATATTTTAATTAAATTTAATTTAATTTAATTTTTAATTTAATTAGTGATTCATCACTTACTTGATGTATAATGATAGTATAATATAATACAAATCACTATATAAATTACATATACTCTGAATATAATATTTGCCCAAAAAAAATATTTTTTCTTACTAAGTTAATTATTCTTTTGGATTAAATAAAAATTGTAGAGCTTATCAAGATATATTTAATAGTAGTAAGATTATCAAAAATAGTTTAGTAGTTGCTAAGATATTGCTAAAAAATAATTAACCAACTATTTAAAATTTTATATAAATGAACTATTGTTTATATAGAAATGTTACATAGTTAGCCAATCATTTTTTAGTGATATTTTAGCAACTACTAAACTATTTTTGATAATATAACCACTGTTAAATATATCTTGATAAGCTTTATAATTTTTACTTAATCTAAAAAAGTAATTAATTTAGTAAGAAAAGGTTTTTCTTGGATAAATACCATATTCAGATATATGTGATTTATATAGTAATCTATATATATTATATTATGATCATATACCAAATGAGTAATAAATTATAATTAAACTTTTGAACTTTAGAGTATTATAAAAGTTAAATTTTATTATATAAATAAATAAATAATCTTTATAAATATCAACTACTATATAGTATAAACTAAAATATCTAGTTATAATAAATATTACAAAAGTTTAGGATAAGATTGTTAATATAATTCTGAAGACCTGATTTCTATTTTATATTATTGATTTTGATCTATCTATAACACAATAAAATAATATTTGTAAAATTGTATATCAATACTGTATATTTGATTTTCAAATTCGTATTTACTCTTTATTATTCAATATCTACAATCTATTTAGAGCTAAACAAGTAATGATATATTTCACAGTTTTGAAACTATTGTAAATTGATTTTTTGGTTATTTAATTTTCTTGTCAGAAGATTTTTCTTCCAAATTATTTTAGTAGTTAAAGAATAAATTCAAGCCTCTGTTAATAATAAATTGATCTTTAGCAGTTTTTATCCAAATTCAACCCTTTACTGGTGTAAAAAAATTTATCTGAAAAAATAGTTATTAATTTTAATTTGTACCTTACTGATACTAAAAAATTGTTGGACTTTTTATATAATAAATAATTATTACTAAAAATTACAATCACATGAAATATGGGAGGAAAAATACTATTCAACTTTTTGGTTACCTATATTTTTTCTATTTTAGAGTGTATTATAATTATCATGTTTTGTTTATTTAAGTATTATTATGATAATTATATTTATTAATTATTATTATCATAATTAATAAACATTTGTAATCTATAACAAAAAATGATAAGTACCATCAATAAATACATACTGTTATTCTAATAGTTTAAGATGTGGTTTTCTAAAATCCTGCTATAAAGGAATTTGTGAAATAAAAATGGTCAAATGCATATAAATAGATAAATTTATGCCCGATTAATATGTAATAATCTTTTAGTGACCCTACACAACAAAATAGTTTTAGTAAAAATTATTTACAAAGAACTTAGTCTTGTACTTTATTATTGGGTACCATAGTTTATAGGATTACAGATGATAGGATCATAACAATACACTAAACATATAGAACAACCAACAATAGTAGTGTAACTGTTGATGGAAGAGCTTATGAAAATAATATAAGATAAGGCCAATTTAACTTCAACAGTATATGGAGAGATAAATATAAACTTGAAAAAATGAAGTAGATTTTTTATAATTGTTAAAGGGCTAAAAAGGTAATAGGATGCTATAACAAATACTTTAATATTAATAGTGATGATGAGGGGTAATGCAACTACAGGTGATGCTATTAAGAGAGATGATAAAGTAGTAGTCTTAAGAACTATGATAGATTACCAGAGTAGAATAATCAGTTATAAGTGTATTCTCTACCACAATCACTAATGTGAATGGCAATATGAGATTCTACAAATGTTTCAGAATCTGAGTCTTAATAAGCCAAATCAAAATTACAAGTCAATTCATTCTGTCAAATTGAGTCTCAAAAGAGTTTATTAAAGTTACAGGTCGAATTTGGAGAATACTTCACAAGGAAAAACTCAGTTAAGTATATATTTTATTATTTATTGGTATTGATATTGGATAAGAACTATTGTACTTTATTGAATTCAGCATGCTTATATATATTTTGAAGATTTAGAATGTTTACTCTACAATCTAAAGGTCTACACTAAGATTTGAGTGTATGCAAAGAAATCTTAATGTATTCTACTAAAATTCATGTAAACGTGGTATGATTTCAGAAGACATGCCTTAATGTAATCGTGTTTATGTGAAGATTTCAATGTTTATATAATGCATTTGATTTTCATACATCTAAGCCTTCAAGTCACTATTGATTACTATTTTTGGATTCTAATTATTAATTATATATATACTATGAAATCAGTTACTGTTACCAAAATAGATGGTGTAATACAACTAAATTATGTGTGAAGGGGTAAGATATTAATTAAAATATAAGTTTAGAGCAAAAATGAAGAATTAAAATTTTAATTCATTATAGAGATAGGACTAGTGAATTTGAGTATTCCACTGACAGTTGGTAGTAACACAATATAAGGTAGGAATTGATTCTAGAATACGAAACAGCCAACGATGAGAACTATATATAAAATTATTTATTACCTGAAATTTATTATTTCAGCCCTAAAGGGCCCAAAAGCTGAATACTAAATTTGTAACTGAATAAACAAATGATTAGCAGCCTAGCATATAATAATTATATCCTGGATAGTTGCGTATAAATGGAATTTTGCAGTAAAGCATAATTTGCCGCTTACGCGGCAGATTATACTTTGCTTCAAAATTCTGTTTATAGTCAACTACTCAGGATAGCTAATTTATCCTCTGCCATCTACGTACCATAACTTTAATATACTTATTTTAAAATGAAACCATTATTTTACTCACTGTTTTTGACGTTTAAGATTAAATAGAATAGTACAATATTTATACTCAATCATCTAAATTAAATAAATATATGTTTAGTAGAATAAGCACATGAAAAAATTACATTGATAGGTTAAAATAATCGTACTATCTAGCAGTTCAAGATAATTGTGCTCAACAAATGACTAGAGCTATTTAGTATATGTTATCATAGCATATCTAAATTTCTCAACCGATATATATTAATGTGTTTTAACATCAAAATTTCTCACTAGACTATAATATTTGAGCATATAGCATACTATACATCATTACGTTATATTTCTAAGTTTATTTTATTTAATTTGTTTATTAAGTATTAAAATCCTTTATAAATAACTTTAGAATAGTCCGAATTTACACATTATACGTGATCATGTGCTGGTTCTGAGCGGCGTCATGCGCTGCACAGCTACCCTAATTATTAAATTCTTTTCTCTTATATAGCTATTTGAATTAATAATAAATTACACCTTTCTTTATCATATTAAACATTCAAGTCTAACCACTATCAATTTCTTCCGTTCTGGTTTCGCGCGATGACGTCGCGCAACTTATCTAATTTTACAGTAGGAGAGCAAGTAATAGATATATCTTGGACAATTGATATATAAAAAAAGTATAACTGATGTATCTTAATAAATTTTACTTATCATTAAATAAAATAAGCATATTAAAGTTCTGCATAACACCATGTATAACATTCATATGTAGTATATGTATTACCAAAAAGTTACTAATTATATCTACTAATTAGTTATAATAGTAACTAACTAATATATATAACAAGGATGTATTATAACAATCATCAGATTACTATATTCAATCAAATCTTGTATATGAATTTAAAATTCGAATAGAATTATACACTTTATTCCACTGTATTTCTGGTATTATAAAATTAACTTTAATTGCTCAAATTTTATATTCTTACTCTGCTGCTACACATATTAATTAATGAGATATTGATTTTGCAGATAGAGACTACCTCAAATGCTATATAACCATAACTTCGTTATACTTTATTTCTGGTATAAGTCATATAGAAAGATGCCTGGGTCAGAATTATAGATGCTTGACGCAGCTGATGAAGAATGACGAAACCTTGACGCAATCATAAGTTGCGTCACTGACGCATAACGCAACTCAACCATATGTCGTAGAAACGGGTGCAGGTATAAATTAAATGTAATGCTAATAAATTCCGTGACGTTTAATTCTTAACATTAATTTATGAAAAAAGATGTTCATTTGTTGGGATAACGAATTGTGATATTAGCATCTGCATCGCCATATGTTTCCTTATAAATACCTTTTTTCATAAGTACACAATTGTTATGAACACTGTTATTTCTTTTACCTATAGGGTTAAGCTTAAATTTAATTCTCACAATAAGTAGTTTCTTATATACGGTAGCTTTCGTTATGTTATAAGTACTGTCGCAGCCAATGCTGAGATTTTGGGGTTTAATTTAAATTTACTAAACCTACTAACTAAAATCCACATATACTATTTTATTAACACTAACCATGAGCCCTGCACCGGACAATGCAAGAAACATAATTCAGTGCACGTACGTACGTACGTACATACTAGATACGTACGCACACCTTCTTCATTAGCAATTTATCGTGCATTCTAATCACTATAAATAATGCAAAAAGAGAAGAATCAATATCATCACTATATTCCAAGATTCATTCTTCGAAATTTTGCTATTAATAAGTATGAAAGGATATTTGTGAGCAATGTAATGGTGTCCAAAAAACAAAAGCAGAACTTTAAGAAAAAGAATAAGGAAGATGCACTCCTTCAAGTTTATGATAGAAAAAATAATCAGTTTGGCATCTCTTTCGTTTCAAAAACTTATGGAATCGTGAATATGTATAAAGATTTTAACCATGAAGATGCGATGCGAGTAGAAGGCAAACTTTCTACATTAGAAACGCAAGCATCAAATGTAATTCATAATATTGTTAACGCATCCCAAAATGGAAATCAAGTAGATTTATCTAGCACAGACCTCAATAATTTACGAAAGTTTCTTTTTATCATGAATTATC